GATGGGAGAATGGGTGGAGGGATGGGTGGAAAAGGAGAAAGGATTAAGAAGTACAAATTAGTAGTTACAAAATAGTCATGGAAATGTGAAGTATAGCATAAAAAATATAGCGAATAATATTAAAATAAATATGTATAGTGTCAGACAAGTACTAACTTTATCAGGGTTATCACTGCATAAGTTATATAAATGTCTAATCACCATGTTATATACCTAAAACTAATACTTTGTATGTCAACTGTAATTGAAAAATTTTTAAAATATCTAAAAAAAGATTACCCAGCTAGAGTACTTTTATTTTTATTATCTTCTAAGAGAATAGTTTAATATCTCCCTTGGGTATAGCTACCTGCTTTTTGTGTATTGAAACATAAGATTCTGCAATATGTTTTCCAAGCTCTCTTTATTCATTTGAAAAATATGTTTGAATCATGCTCTGTGTCAAGGACATTGACATGGGATTGTCCAGCAGATATTTGGCTATGCAGATTTGTAGTTCAGGAGGTAGGGCTGAATGGAAGCAGAAAACTGGGGACTGGAGGTGGGGGTGGGCGGTCACCAGCAGAGAGATGGTGGTGGAAGTTATGAAGATTTGTGCTTCTCAGTAACAAATTTGAACCGAGGTTAATTTCTGAGAGTTTAAACTATCTCTTAATTTGAAAGAGTTATTCATTTTCAATCTATTCCTCAATTTGTACTTTCTTTTGTACTTTCTTTTTCTTATAGACTAATGCCCAACGTTTTTATTTGGATACGTTCTTCTTATTTTCTTCTTCCTCTTTCTTTTCATGTGCACAAGCAGGTTGTAAAGTATATTAAAGTATATTTAAACTACTCAAAACGCCACTGCCACCCATGACCACCACCGGCGCCTCTATCATTAGCATCTCCATCATCATCATTGCCATCACATCCACTACCTCCATCACGCACCACCATTATCACTACCACCTCTACCTTCATCATCACTATCTCCATCATCACTATCACTACCTCCATCACCATCACCACCTGCACCACCTCTACCACCTCTCGACCACTCTATAGCCTTCACCACCGCTTTTGGTTTCTGGGTAGCCCTTGCAAGCATTATTTTGTGTGGCCACTAGAGGGAGGCAGCAGCAACAGCTGTAGCTTGGTGTTTACTGGGTGTCAAGGCTGTACTTTCCTTATCTCAAGTAGAACTTGCAAAGTGTCCTGTCTATACCAAAGAAAGTTCTATCTTCCTGTGTCTTTTAGCCTAATTGCATTTTCACTTGCTTTTTTGGGAAGATTTTGATATATAATCGAATTGTGGTGGAATTACAGGCGCCATATGACTCGAATATTCCTATCAGTGGCTTTTACCCTCAATTTTTTTTCAGAATACTAAAAAGAATACTTTTGTGTGGAATTTTAGTTTTTTCTCCCAAAAATTCCATGTGTTATCTCACTGTAAGTATTCAACAAATGTGTTTGATTTGGGTAACCAGAGGATATTATTATGACCGATGTCAACTTAAAGAACAAAGAAACTGAGCCTGGGTGGGCTGCCCGTCCATGAAAGGTGGTGGGATGTGCCATCCAAGATGCCATGTTTCTCGATGCCAGACACATGCTTTCCTCTCTGCCAAGCTACTCTCACAGAACAGGACAAATGAATGGCAGCAGTGACGCTATACTGTAGCCCTGAGTTGCTATGTTCCCAGGGATCCTCACCAATGCGACATTTGGGGCTTTCTGCAGAAAGTGTCCTGAGATGCATTTTGGCAGAGCCCCAAGCTTACCCAGGGAGACAAGGCCCACACTCAGCGTCATTCTCCATGTCCCCCGGCGTCAGCACGGTGGCGCGGAAAAAGCCTTCACAGTCTTTGTGGCGCCTGCATATCTGGTAGCCTCCTTTGGAAAATTTCTCTGCTGGGCAGGGGACGCAGCCGTAGTCCTCATCTTTGGTACCATAGCCACAGGCCTGGCCGAGGAAGATGACAGACGACACAGGTGAGTACAGTGGCCGCACCTGCCATGGCCGCTCCTGCCATGACCAAACCTCTTTGGGTACACTACGCACACTGGGCACAGAGGGCGCCTCAGTCACATGAGCACATGGAGCACACGGCACTGATTCAGCTTGGGGACCATATATAGAGCAACACAGGGTAGGATGATGACAGCCCATGAAGGAGGGAGAGCTCACCAGGCCCAAGGGAGACGTGGTCTGGCAACCAAGAAGCGTGCCTTACCAGGTAGGGCTCTTCCCCTGGTCCACACTGGGGACACTCATGGCACAGCCCTGTGGTCTGGTTGTAGTACTCATTCTCGCCACAGTTGGAGTATTCTGCTGTGGCTGAACACATCAGAGACACCTGCCACAAGAAAGGGGTCGTTTAGCCTCCATAATTCCTGAAGACACATATATAGTTAGTTACTTGGGGTCGGCGCCCAGACAGCCCCCAAGGCCGCGTGAGGAAGGAGCCTGGTGGTGGGGGCCCTGCTCAGTCAGTTGGTGCCACATCCCCAGGAAATTTAGCTAATAAACTGGGCAGGCTGCCCTGCTCCCATAGTCTGGCCTCACTCCCACCAACTCCTCTCCCCTCCATCCCATCTTCAAGGCCTGATCCAAACTCTTTTCACCCATGGATTCTTTCTTCCATTCTCTCGAAAGTCATGATGAGACAGGCCCTCTCTCAGTCTCTGGAGCAGAAGGTCTTTCTGCCACACGGTGCCTCTTCTCTCCCGAGGAGGAGCCCCGTGGTAGAGGCCTGGAGCTTTCTCAGCTGTGTGGCCCCCATTGTGGCTCACCATGCAGGCATTGGATTGTGTATATAGCAACATAAATACACACTTCAAGACATTTCTATCTATGAAACCCTATAAAGGGAGCCATCAACCAGGAAGTCTAATTTGAACCCTGGGCACTGTTTAGTGCTTTGCAGATATTATCTTTTTGCACCCTCAGAACTCAGTGAAGGAGGTGCTTTTATAGTTGTTCCCATTTTACAGCCCTGTAAATTGAGGTATTAGAGGCCAAGGAAGGGGCCCAAGGTGGTGTGGTTAGTGAAGGACACAGCCCGGATGGGAGCTCCCACTGGAACCTCCACCATGGCTGCCATGGGCACTTCCTGGGCTGAGGGTGCAGTGTGGGCAGGTGCTCTGACCCACTTACCATCAGGACGGGGAGCCAGGGCATCTGTTTGCAGTCACCCATATGGGCCATCCTCTTCTGTGGGTTCACCTGAAAGACACAGTTTGTTAGCAGCAGCGGGGCCTGCAGAACCTGAGGCTGCTCCAGGACTGGCTGGCCACTGCCCAGCCCCACTCCGTGTCAGCTGCCCTCATTGTATCCCACTGAGCTTGAGGGACCTCCCAGCAACCAGAACGGGAATAGCGACACCCTAAAAGAAAAGACAGATTTAAGCTGAGCCTCGAGCACCTCGGACTGACTCCAGTTACGTCCCCCTAGCATCACCTCATCCCTGGGAAAGAACTCCTGGGAGGAGGAACCAGGTCACACTGAGGGCCACTGCTAAAGTAGCACAATGACCAGCTGTTACGTCTGCTGGGAGAGTCTGCTGATTCCCTGATCCAGAGTGCCCCTGGGGACAGTGCCAGGAATCAGAATCCAGCTCACTCCTTCCCAACCCCACTTCCCGCTCTCCTAGCCCTTTCATAAGGTTCTTTCTTGTCTTTGCAAAGAATAGGTCATCCGTCAAAGTGACTGAGAGGATGTATGAGTTCAACCGCTTAACTTTCACTTTACGAGACAACTGAAGCCCACAGAAGTTAGTGACTTGCCTAAGGTCACACAGCTGATGGACAGAGGAAGGCTACAGCCCAGGTGCTCAGATGCTTTCCCCCAACCACTAAATTACGCACTGTTTTAAAGGAGGAGGTATTATTTTTCACCTTTCCACTTTCATAATGGGAAATCCGTGTTTCTAACTCAAAGCAATTTTACCGTGGAGCCTGGCTATACAAAGAGAGATAATGTGCTTCTGTGAGTGCCTAAGTCCTCCAGTTGCCACACACTGGGTCTCTGTCATCTTGCTTTGACACTGGGGATGAATTAGTGAAAAAACAGCACGCCGCCTTCTGATAGCTGGGTTGTGTGAGAAACCTTCAGAATCAACCACTGAGTCAGACTGTGAGTCAAACTGACCTTTCCCCCTGTGAATCTTCTTGTTCTTGGTGAGCCATCATTGCTCTTGGAAACCCACAATCCTCAAATACCACACACAAAAAGACTGTGCAAGAACTCAAAGCAGGAGACCGATAAATGGGAAATCCATTCTTTTTTTTTTTTTTTTAAGGAGAAAAGCCCTGAACTTTGTCTTTACAATATCCTAAAGGCATTAAGGAGAAAAGCAGCCAAAAAATTATTTATTGGAAATAAGGAGGTTAAGTTTGGGAAAGAGGAGGGCTCTGTAACTCAGGGGTTCAGGAAGGGTCAGGGTGGGATAGCCAGGGGCCAGTTAGTAGGGTGGCTGGGTGGGGCTGGTACTGAGGAGAAGTAAACTCCCCGAGTGTACACACATACAGACACAGTCTTCTTTTCTAAACCTCCTCCACCCCAAGATTTAGAACTTTGCTCTGTGAGATTCTGGGGAAGAGAATGCACATATATGAGAACTGCCCAATGCATAAATTTGTAGTGACAGGCCAGTGAGGGACAAGCTTTGAGCCTGCCTGCCTCTCAGGTTTGCTGGCCTTCCAGGGAGCACGTAGCTCTGCTCCCCGTATCCCGAGGATGCCTGTCCAGCGGCAACGCTCCTTGGTTCTGCCTCTTGCTGGGAGCAGCAAGCACTCATGCTTCCCATAAGAGACTAGATAAAATCAAATGGGGCTTTAGCTATCCTGCTTATTTATTATTACAACTAACAAAAAATCCATTGGAGCGCCATGCAGGGGAACTCCAGGAATACTCACGTAGAATGGCCTGGGTTCATATTTGTAAAAGTGTCTGTGTACATAAAAGCAGATCTGGAGTGACATCCACTACAATTTCAACAAAGATTTTTTGGCAGGGAGTGAAATAGGGTGGAGTGACTAAAGATTGAGAGGAGGTTATGGGGAACATTCCCTTTTGATAGAGTGCCTGTAGTCAGAATGATTTAGAAGAGTACATATGAACTCTGATCGGAGGAAAACACAAGAAAGAGATTTCCTTTGGGAAGAAGCACATCTCTGATTGCTCAGAGGAGGGGTTGGGGAAGGACGTCACGGGGGCCCAGATCTTTCCCAGGATTTTCCCCTGTTGGCACAGTTTCATTGGACAAGTCTCTCACCTGGTGAGTACCATTAGGTGGCCTTTGGGGAAAGGTTAGGTTTCAAGGAATTTCTTGAAGAGATACAAAAGCTGCCTTTTTGAACTTTCTAGCACACCGTCTTGCAATTCACTACCACATTTACATTTGAAAAACACTAAGTGGACTAAGGTGAAATTAGAGCGCCCAACTACCCCTCAGTGAAATCCTGGGTGCTTTCCTCCTAGTAGGCAGGGTGGAAGACAGAGGGAGGCCCCACCTGCAGCCTCACCAGGTGGGAAGGGTAAGGTGCAAACAAAGGTTGAAAGGGAACTTAGGAGCCAGCATCTTGGCTGACAGCCTGGCTTTTGCTTCAGGATGGTGGGCAGCAAAGATGAGTTTCCACTGAGTCGGGCCAGAGGCTCTCCTGAGGAAAGCTGCCTGGAAGCCTTCCAAGAACATTGCTAAGGGTTCTAATTTAATTGACTTCTAATTATAGCTGATCCTGGGAGGGCTTCCCTGTTAGCACTAGGAGGCCTGGGTCTCACTTTAGTGTCAACCAAGAGCACTTACTGAAAGGCTCCTTAAAGGTGTTCCCAGGCTAACAGAAGACAAAAAGAAAAATAAATAAATATACAAAGCCAAACGAAAAGTTTGGATGGGTTTTCATTATTATTTTCAATTCTCTAAGATGGCAAGTGGGGTCGAGGAAGGAAGCTGAGGGCAGCCTGCTGGTTAGGATTCCATTCCTGAGGTCTGGCTGGCCTTTGCAGAATGCAGTTCTGCACTCCGGAGGAAGCCCAGCCTGGGGGCTGGTAGGGCCTGAGTTCCTCCCGGTCCTGATGTCCCAGTTGTTTCGGCTTTGGCTATCCCCAACACCCCCCACCCCGAGCAAGACAGGGCTTCTGCCCATCAGCTGGCGGAGGTGCCAGTGGAAGGATCTGAGTAGGGTGCTCTCAGCTTGGCGTGAGTTCTGAGCCCTCCCTAACTATGAGTGTGACGGAGAAATGGGGCGGGGGGGAGGGCACTGAAATCTCTCTTCCGGTCACCTGATAGACAAGGCTGCTTCTAAACCTGTGAAATTGACTAGTTCAGGGGTCTGCAAACAGGCCACCACATGGCAAACACACTTTCACAGCACCTCTTGTGGCCTAGTGCCTGTGGCCACTGTCATGATACCACAGAGACCCTGTGACTAAGCTCTGCCGAGCCTGTCCTAGTTGACTGCTTCTCCTCCCACCCACAGACTCTTTACTTCTCTGCCTTTTGGCCATTTCTTCCTCAATACTATGTCCACCTAAAATAACACAGCAATAAAAATAACAGCATGTAACTATAGAACTCTGACCCCTGCCCGGGCACTGCTCCGGCTTAATTTTCACCACTCCTGTGTGAGCTCTAAATTTAGGGCCAGTGGGGAGAACAGGCTGGAATTATCGGCCCATTTGGAGAGATTTATGCTACTGGAATTATTGGTGTGTTTTGTTTCTATGCCATCCTATGACCTCAGCCAGGGGTCCAAGACCTGCTGATAACCAAATAGAAAAAAAAAAAAATAGTGTCGTGGTTAAAAGCAAGAGTTGAATCACATCTTGGGCAAGTTACATAGCTTGCCAGTGGTTCGGTTTCCTTCCATATAAAATGGGCATAACAAGACTGCCTACCTCACATGAGGGAGGAAGGGAGGCCCGAGTATTCCTGAACTCAAACTTGGCCTCTCCTTCTGTTACCACCACCTCAGTCCCAGCTTCCTCGTTTCTGGCATGAGGTTTCGCTGTAACAATATCCCGTTACGGCAAGTCTTTGGCCAGCACCAGGCGGTCTGACGTCTGGAGACCTGGGCTGAGGAGGATGCTCTGGGAACAGCCATTCGTGTCTGGCTGTAAGTCCTCCAGTGCTCTGGAGGGTGCTGAGGGGGCTGAGCAGAGCCAGGACACTGCCCTCTCCTCCCCAAGCCCTTTCTAACTCTAGAACTGAGGAAGAAAAGCAAAACAGAGTTGTCTTCCAAAATCCAGGAACTCTACCCCTTCCTAATATGTAAAGCTTCTCTCACAAGCTATAGAAATTAAGACTCAATCAGGATAAAAGTTCAAAACATGCTTAGGCCTAAAATATGAAATTGGCCATCCATCTAGAAATCTCTCCCCGGTCCTCAAATCAACAGGCAAGCATCTGCTAAAACCTGCCTTAGGGCAAGGCTGGTGCTTGGCACAAAGAAGATTCTGGTCACTCACAGATGGGCGGTCGTCAGCAAGCTTGTGGTTTGTTAACCCCGAGGGTTGTAGTTAGATACAGTAACTCTGCAGCGTTTTTCTCACATCCATTCAAAAATATTTATGAAGCATCTCCAGTTGGCCTAATTCTGGGCTAGGGATGAGTTTCACTAGAATTAGGTGCAGCTCCAGGTGATTAGAGACTGAGAGTCACCCACAGTTTGGGGCTGTAGGTACAAGATGCTCAGGCCTGTAGTGCAGGGAGGCCCTGATTTGGCGTGTTTGGCTATTTCTGTGCTGTAAATACTCTCCCTATGGCCATTTTTTAGCTGCTGATTAAAGTTCCCCATGCCAGGCTACTGAATGTAGATCTGGTAAGAAGTTATTGGGAGCTGGTGGCCCACACCTTCAGAGGTCCCTGACTTATTCTTGGGGAGATCAGGGCAGGCAGAGTCTGACCTAAGTCCTGAAGGGCAGGTAGGAGTTAGTTGGGAAAGCGATGGAAAAAAGATCCCCCAGGAAGGGGCAGTAGGCGGCCCAACTGGCCAGAGGTGAAGCCATGGGCTGGACCGGAGGGCTGAGCGTGAGGTCAGATGAAGTTGGAATGTTGCAATGGGACTTGTACAAAGGCTGTGCGTGCGATGGAGCAAAGGAGTGGCAGGACCAATTTTCTACTGCAGTGAAAGAAGGGGAGACACACAGAGGAAATATGTCACAATGAGACCCAGCACACACATATTACCGATATAATAGAGATAAAACTTGCATGGAACAACATTTATACTTACTGCATGCAATATAATATAATCTATTCTGTCCTATTACTTTTATTCTATTTAAAAAAATAGTGGTAGTTGCAATACACGAAATTGATTTCTTGACTCATTATTGGGATATGACTTGTAATCTGAAAACCACTCACTTAGGCAAAGGAAGAAAGGAGGGTGGAAACCTGTTAGGAGGTGATGGTGTCAGAGGTGACAGAGCATAGAGGCTGGCCCAGGTCCCCATTTGGCTGTTGGGTATGCGTGAGGCTGCTACTGAGCAGGAAGCAGAGGCAAGTGGGAGGTGTTGTGGACCATGGACAGACTGAGGGGCCTGGAAAACCTCCAAGAGGAAGCAGGCTCAGGAGGCTGCCTGCATGAGTGGAGCTCAGGAGAAAGATCTGAGCAAGGGAGAGACATGGTTGTCACAGTACACAGATGACTTAGGTTCTAGTGGAGTGGGTTTCAGGAGGTTTTGCTTTCTTGCCCAGCTTGGTGATCTCACGCCTCCTCAAAGGGCAGCACACATTCTCCTCTATGAAAATGGAATGATGCAGCCCCCTCTCAGACTGAGTGATCCCTGTGAGGAATCAAGGAGACCCCCAGTGTGACAGGGCTTAGCAGGCTTGGAAACACTCTAAAGGTAACAGGTGAAAGTGTTTCTAGCAAACAGGTCACAGTGGTTCCTGTGTAGCAACAACTCAGATTGTGAAAGAGGGGTCGACTTTCTTAGCTCTGTGAAGAGAGCTGAGAGTTACTGCCATCTACACGAGCAGCTTAACAAACAAACAAACAAACACACACACACACACACACACAAAACAGTAGCGCTTTCTGCAAGAACATCTGACAGTTTTCAATGCACTTTCTCTTACGCGGGTTCCTAGGAGGATGGGTTGGATAGTGGGAAGCCTGTGTTCCAAGAGGCAGCAGCTCAGGAAAGTTATATGGCTTGTTTAAGATCAAGCTCCAGGCATGAGTCCTGTTGTCAGCACCCAGCCTGCTGTTCCTTTGACCACAGCCCATAGCAGTTTCCCCAGGAGGCGACCTCCTGCCTTGCTGAAGGCTTTCTCAGAAGCTCTCTGTGATATTTTTAACCCATTGAAAAGACCACATGAAGTGGGGGAGGATCTTGCGTGAATGCGTGTAAGAATTATGAGTGCTAGCCTTGCCTTGGGGATTGAATAATTGGTAACATGTGTGACACGAGAGGTACCAGTGTCTTTAGTGTCAGAGGGGAAGGAGGAGGCTGTCTGTACCCTTGGGCTGTTGCGAGCTCTGACTTTTGCCTGGATGGCTGAGCCTGTGATACCAGAAGAAAACGGAGTGGAAGGAGAGGCAAGCTGCTTTCCCTTCACACCAGCTGAGTGCACATTTGACCTCTTCTCCCCAAGTCTGTATATTCAGACAAGGCTGACATAAAGATAAAACCAGAAGACAATATCAGAGCAGTGTCCGTGCAGCCCTGCTGCCTAAAGTGGGGCCCTGGGTCTAGCAGCATGAGCATCATCTGGGAGCTTATGGGAAATGCCCACCCTCGGGTCCCTCCTGACCAGCTTCCTCAGAGTCTGCGTTTCACCCAGATCCCCGGGAGATCTGTGTGCATGGGAAAGTTTGAAAACCTGATCTAGGTGACCTCCTAGTAACATCTTATTCATGGCCTTGTTTAATTCCCTCTTGTAGACTCAGACGAGGATTTATTTCTTCCTGTGTCTCTCCTTACTTAAATTCTGACCTCTCCCAAGGAACGAATGCTGGCTTTAGCATCACCATATGGAGTACTGTGCACTAGACACTGATTTCTTTGCTCTTGTTTGTTGGTTCATTCATTAATCATTTATTCAGCAGCGTTTGCAGAGTTGCTACTGTCCTATAGATAATCCTATAGACCCTGGAGACAGTGACAGCAGACAACGTCCCTGCCCTATTATCTGTCCAGGAAACAGACACTGAAGACAAAATTATACAAAGTTTAGGCCACTTCCTACATTTTTAAGCCTACTCCCTTGGGTGCAGTTTCCTGGAGTGCAGCTTGCCTCCTGGGATAGCCTTCACTCTGGCAGGGGTGGCTTTGCCTCAGTGGACACTGTCATTGTGTCTGCCTCCAGAATGCAGACATACATAGTGGTAGGAAGGAGGCTGTCCTCTGTGTCAGTCATCACTCTAGGAATCTGAAGACTCACCACTTGGGCCTTGGGTGGCTTCACATTCTTTGATCCAGCTGGGCCACTCCTTGGCTCCATCTGACCACCTTGAATATGGAGATGCTGCCTCTCCCCAAAAGGCTTCTTCTCTCTGAGAAGGCAAGGTTAGACTGTAGAGCCACAGCTTAGGTACTGCTCATCCTCGACCTGTGGAAAGGGACTGAGGCAAGGCAGCGTGGGAGGCCTTTATAGGAATGAGGCCTGCAGAGTTACCTTCGTGTGTATAGGTAGGTGGGGGTCCCTCTATCTTTGGCCCCTTCCCTCTTCTAGCACGCTCGCTTGCGAGAGGGTACTCAGAAGGTGGTGCCAGGCAACTGTGCCCCCTCATCCTTACCTGGTTGCAGTGACTGGGCAGAGGCCCCACTGGCCACCCAGGAAGCACAGTGCTGCCCCCAGGGTGGTCCATATCACAGAACGGGAGGAAGGAGAGGTCTATGGCCAGCACTCCCGGGTTCTTAGCATCAAGCTCTTTGTGAAAAGAGGTGAGGCGTTGGCAGCTGCCTGTGTTCTGGGGAGGTGGCCATATAGCTGGCTCCCTTTCCCTGTCCACCTCAACACAACCCTCTCCTACTAGGCTTCCCACAATGTCCCCCCTCCTGCAGACGGATGCCCTGAGCGAAGGCTGCTGGTGGCCTCCTCCCCACACATCAACACATTCCTTTGCTCCTCAGACTCCCCACTTCCCACCAACCAAGACAGAGCTTTATTTACCCTCCAGGAGCCTGTGGAGGTCATTATCAGAGCAGCCGAAAACACTTCCATTTGACTTGATTTATGGCTCCTAGTAAACTTCCTTGTTCTCAGTTGGAGAGTGCTAATTAATGCTAGATGGTGAAGAGATTAACTCATTCTCTTTCACTTCTGCTTTAGTCAAATCTGTTTCACTGGAGAACTAGTGAGAGCCTGGAAGACATCCTGGGTGGGACCGTCTCCTGTCCAGGCTAGCTATGTAGGAAGGGCCCTGAGCGTGCCATCTCGAAATTCTTAGTAATCTTAAAAGGAGGGGCCCTCCATTTCCATTTTGCACTGGGCCCTGTAGATTAAATAGTCCATCCTGTTCTCAGCCACTCTGTCTGGGCAGGTGAGGCAGCCACACAGGGCCCGACTACTGGGCTGCCCTGCCCAAAAAAAGTTCCCCCGGGCACTCTGGCCAGGGTCAGGGAGAGCTGAGAAAAAGAAGCAGAGGCTCCAAGTCTTGTCAAGACCCACAGACGCCTCTCCTACCCCGAAGACTTGAGAGGAATCTCAGAAGGACAGAGACTGAAGGCTGAGAGAGAAATGACTGACCAGGAGTGCATTGGGGTAACTCAGAGCTTTAAATAACATAACATGACGGTTTTAAAGACCAGTCCCCATTCTTCAGCACCGCACTGGGAAACTTTCATTCAGAAACTCTTTGGTGAAGATTTCAGGGCCGTGACGGGTAAATGATCCCCACCAGCATCTCAAAGGGAGTGGGCAGTGTCCATACACTCCCTCAAGGATATATTTTTGGTTAAAAATATATTACATATATGTGTATATGATTTTTCTTAAGGTCCTAGATCTTTCTTCCTCTGGAGGCACTTTGCTCTCGTGCCACCTGGCTGCACCCCCTGTAGTTTACTCTCAGGACAATTCTAGCTCCAGCTTTTGCTTCTTGTATCAGCCTGTGGTGCTGTGAACTACTCTGGGCGAGAGGCAGTGGGGGCTTTTATCATAGGATGTTTATTTGATCCCCGTTGTACTCTAAAAGGGTTAACAGAAGCTAGAACTGAAGATTTCTCAAATAAAAGCAGTAGTAGCTGCTTTGATTTTCTCAGAGTTCCAGAGGCAGGTGGGGGGATGAGCAGAGAACGTGGGAGGAAATGAGAGAGGGACCAGAGTGCGGGTGTGGAGCCTTGAGTGGGGAGGGGTTGAGGGAAACTATCTGCTCTGCTGGCGAACCACAGACAGGGCCACGCACAGAGCGCCCGGCTCAGAGAGGCACCCATAAGGCCCAACCACTGGGCCTGAACCCTTTGGTGTTGACAAACTGTTCGGCGACTTAACTCGAAGATTTAAAATGAGAGTCCCTAAGTTTCATTTGTTAGTTTTAATTGAAATAATACCCGGAAAATAGCTTTTCTTGCACACATTGAATAAACACAATGCATTTATTTATCTTGGACTACTTCCAGCTTTTCTTTTGAAGCGTCACTACTTATACAAATGAGCATGTCAAACTACTTTGAATTCTATATGGATTATTAGCTCTTCAGTAGAAGAACCCAGAAAAGCAATACAGAACAAAGAAAACTAGTATTTTGGACATTTCTGTTTACATCTCATCTTTTTATTTGACTCTACTTTTCCTGACAGTTTTTATTTTCCTACATATAAACCAGTGACGATAGTAATTATTTCTGGAGTGTTGTAGACAGCCATGGCCTAAGAACATTTGTAAAATACTAAAATTATTATTGTTTGTCAAAGTAGGTTTGGGATTTTCAGAATATTAATTATGTTATTAGGCAGGTGCATCTGCATTTGTGCAGTGATAGACCTGGGGCTGGAGCCCAAAGAGGAGGGAGCTCTCCTACATTTGGGACAGACTGTGGTGTTTTGATGTGATTTCCGTCTTGAAGTCTTGCTCATGAGAGTAAAGCGGACAGCAAATAGCCACCCAGAAAGTTCAGAGGAGAGCAGTCGTTTATCCAAATATCCTGCCATAAAGCTGTGCATTCAGTTTCACTCTATTTCATTTAATGCCTCAGAGTTGAAAGCATCTTGCAGAAGTGATGAGCCCGGTGAAGCTTTTTTTTTTTTTTTTTAAATCCCTCTTTTATTGCCTTATTAAAATCAAGAGAAAGCATTTTCAAGTTGAAATCAGAAAGGTTATTTAACTAAATGTGTTGCTTTAAATTATAAAACACAAGTTTTTCTAGGACTCATATACACGTGAAATCTTGTGGCAGCATAATAGCAGCTGCTCTTTAGCCCTATAACATGCGTGCCAGCCATCCTTCCATTTGTCCGCCCATCCTTCCACCCATGCACGCGATATTTATTGAAAACCTACTTCGGACCAGGTTGAACAACAAACAAATCGAAACAATCCCTGCCCTGGTGGAGCCTCACAGTTTGGTGGAAACCAAGGCAGACATAGCGCAGTGAGATAAACACTGAGAAGGGAGAAATAAGTGATGGGCGCAGTAGGAGCACATGGGTGTGTGTCCTGTGTGGGGAAAACCTGACTTACTGGGGGAGGTCAGGAAGACTGTCCCAAACCCAGAGAAGGGAGGGCGGCCAGGAGTTAGCCATTAATTACAGTGGAAAGGAGGAGGAAAAGGAAGAGGGAACAGCATGGGCTAAGGCCCGGGGGAGAGCACGTCCCATTTGGAAACTGAAAGCGGCAGTGGATTCCCTCCAGGTAACTGCTCTGTCCTCTTCTCTTACGAGTTATTTCCTAAACCGTATTCTGATGAAATAAAAAAAAAAAAATTCTTATTTTCTGCCAAGAGGCTACTCTGCTGGCTTCTCCCTCAGCTCATTGTCCTCGTTTTCTTTGTTCCCATCAGCTCAGATATGTTTGGAAAGTCGTACATTTGGGCCACCCTGTCACCCCCAAATCCAATTTCTTATATCTGGAGTCCACTAGAGAACAGCGAGTTAGCACCTTAAAATATTCACACTATTGAAAAAAAGAGAGAGAGAAAAACATTCACACTATTTAGGGAGGTGAGATACATAAATGTCTCTCAGTCACACCAGTTTTGCTTAACAGCACAACCCAAACAAGAACATCATAAGCAATCACTGTAAGACACACTGCTAGAATCCCAAACCACGTCAGCTAAGTAAAAGACATTAGTGTGTTGGTGACGATATCCTCGAAGTAAAGGAAGTTGAAGGAAATAAACCTGGGATCAATAGATTCTAAATCAAATGATGAAACAAGAAGGATCTCAAAATTATCACTATTACTATTTGCTACTGAGGGACCCTCAGAAGGCTTGCTGCTCTCCGTGCATCATCACTGTGAGTCATTGAGGTGGCTCCCACGTGGGTGGTGGGAGCCGGGTGGGGGTGGGGCAGCTGTCTGAAAGGAAAGGTGAGGTGAGGGCATGTGGAAGGCAGGCAGAAGGTACACAGCTCTTCAATGCCTGAGTCCCGATCCCACTCTCACAATGGGCTCTATCCCTGCATGCCTCTCTTTGAAGTCTCGAGCCAGAGAGAAGAGGGGCTCTTAGTGCCGAGAGGCAGCCATGTGTGGCCTTTGCACTCCAGGCTCTCAGGCAGCCAGGAGCTTCAGAAACAGTCTGGAGATGAAGGTGGGCAGGTCTTTTACTCATTTTCTGTGCTAACAATCTAATAGCATCATCACACAACATGAGTGTGGAGTTATGTATGGAAGAAGCAGTGAACTCTATTATTGCACAATTGCAACATGTAATGTGCTATGCATATTATGGCCCACGTGTGGACAGGCACATCCAAGTGGGAAATAATTCAAAATGATTGAAGCGATGTTCTCAGAGTCTACATGTCTCCTGGGAACTGATAGTTTATTGTTCTGGTTAATGGCACACGATTTAGGTTCTTATTGCTAAGACTACACTTTTTTAAAACAACCAGCTTTATGGAAGTATAATCAACTCACCACAAAATCCACACATTTCCAGCGTACAGGCTGGTGACTTTGGCTTCTCTGCTGGTGGTTGCCACAGAGATGCTACTATAATCCCAAGTTCTGAGGATCCACAAATAAATCCGCCTCCCCTCCCAACACCAGCAGTGAGTGTGGCCAAAACAAAAGGTTCGAAGAGGCAGAAAAAATGATAGCATTTGCCTAGAGCTAACCTTAGTGGATGCTTTTCAAAAACTCACTTCAGAAAAATTGTTAGTATATTGAAAACAACAGCCTGTTCACCCTGGTAAATAATCATGCTCAATGAAATTCTTCTATCCTAAGATGTTTTATGCTTATATGGAATTGGAAAAGCACACACAGTGCGTGCTTGTGGCCCTCACTGCTGAGGATGCTGTGGTTCTGGGGCCTGTGAGGCTGGAACTGAACGTGCGTCCAGGGCTACATGGCAGGTATGGGTTTATCAGGTCATAGCTGGCAAA